AGAGTTCTAGGACCATCCCCTAAGCCTGCTTGTTCGGGTATTCTGTGTTGTTGTTGTTGGAGCTCTCTGCTATATGTCCACCCGATCCGCCATCTTGTTTGTTCTCTGTGGCGTGATTTTTTGAAAAAGTGAGTAGAGGAGGCAGATGCCCTGAGCCTTATGGTGATTTGAGGGTTTTGAGTCTGCTACCCGACGGCCTCCTCCTTGAGATCTCCCCCTTTGTCTTTAGAGCCCTCCTTACCTGTGTCGTCTTGCCTCAGTGGGGTACCGGAAGCTCTTGAAAGTTCTTTTTGATGATTAATGTAATGCCATTTCTCTTCAATCTTGCATTCTTTGCATAGTCAAGCATATGATCGTCATATTCAGAATGGCCATAGCTCATTAATGCCTAAAATATTGATCTTTATGTGTTCAATTTCATTCTTTACAACTTCCAATTTCCCTAGATTCATACATCACACATTCCATGTTCCAATTATCAATGGATGTTTACAACTGCTTCTCCACATTTTGAGTTGTGCCCCATCAGCAAATGAAGGTCCTAAAAGCTTTACTCCATTCATGTCATCACACTCAACTCTACTTTAAAGAGGCAACTCTTCCTCACTCGTATTTTGAGTGCCTTCCAACGTTAGGGGCTCATCTACCAGCACTGTACCTGGCAATATTCTGATGCTATTCATCATGTTTTAGTATTCTGTATTCTGGTGCTATCTGACAGTGTACTCTTGCTACTCATAAGGTTATTGGTGGCTAAACATTCAGAAGTAGTCCATCTCCTTTTCCTAATCTGTCTTAGTCTAGAAGCTCAGCTTAAACCTGTTTGCCATGTATGTACCCTGCTGGTATTTAAAATACTGGTGTTATAACTTCCAGCATCACAGCAACACACAAGCCACCACATTACAATAAACTGACAGATGAGTGGGGGATAAAATCATAGGCACCTTTATTTAACAAAACTATTAAAATGTGAAGCTATTTTTTCTAAACATATTCTCCATCAATTTGAGTACACTTTTGAAAGCAGTGTTTCCATCTCTTACCCTTCCCCACAGAATTCTGTACTCCTGGATTTACACCACATCAAAACTGTAGTTTTAGCATCCTTGAGGGACTGAAATGTTTATTTTAAATGTTTTTTTTTAACTTGGGGAGCAAAAAGTAGTCTAAAGGGAACAAGATTAGGGCTGTAGGATAGATGTTACAAGGTTTATCAATGAAACTTTCATAGAAATTCCTTGCTACTCTTGAATGAGCAGGTGCATTGTCATGGTAGAAAAAATTCCTCAGCACAGCTTTGCTGGGCTTTTTCTCATCAGTGCAGTTTTCACGTTTCTTAAAACTTCACTTTAGTAATCCCCTGTGATCACCCTGTGTCCTTTGAGAAAATCTATCATGATGACACCTTTGGAATCCCCAAAAATAATCACCATAACCTGTTGAGTTACCGTTGTGTTTTCAGTTTAATTAGCAGATCCTCTCAGAAGCCACTGTTTTGATTGGACCTTTTTTTTGAAGGCACCCTAATGAGACTAAGACAAGTTCATTATTGAGAGAACTATCTGCAGCCATCCACTGATTGCAGAGACATGTTTACACATGTTGTTGTGGGGTTTTTTTGGAATTAAATTCATGCATGTATGAACTGGAAGGAGCCCTAAAAGCAATACTTTTTGACTTATTCTCATGTTTATTGGGCTAAGTTGTCTTTGAAAGGGCAAGCAAGCTTAAGCAAATTGAATATATACAACAAAATGCTACAAAGAAAAAGTGTAAAAAAAAGATAGTAAAAGAACTATCTTTACTGTTATGTTAAAAATATTAGGGGTGACTCAACAATAACAATATTTTGCCGTTTTGTTTTGATTAATCAATAAATAAAGCTTTGAGGAATATCACATGGACGTGTCTTAGAGTATTTTAAGTATGATGTTAGGAAATGATACCTCTATGGAAAGAGTACTAGTGAGTCAGTAGTTCTGATGCTGAAGTATCTGGTGTTTACTTCCTTCACTTTTAGTATTACTACTTTGAAATTATTTGGAAAATAATAAAATATTTTCTGGTGTATGAGTGATTCTGTTAAATGTATTACAGCATACTAGGTCAGGGCCATATGATTTGCTGGATTATTAAAGCTATTTTTGTTGTATGTATGAACAGAGTTATTTTCTAGAAGTATATATTTCTGATTTTATAATGGAAAAAGTATGACTGGCATGGACTAGGTGAGTGATTCAGTTAGTAGAAATAGCTCTGAATGAGTATTTGTTGTTAAGTGTTATCAAGTCGGTTCCAACTCATAGTGGCCGTATATAGGGTTTCTGAGGAGTATCTAGTAGATTTGAACCACTGGCTTTGTAGTCCAAACCAACATTATGGTTGAATGCTTATCCTACAGTGTCACACCGGGACTCTTAGCAGCTGTTAAAGATAATATACTAGATTTGCTTATCTTGTTTTTTTCCCTAGTAGAATTGTATAATACCACACTGTTGTTGTTAAGTGCCTTTAAGTCAATTATGACTCATGGTTGCTCTGTATAGGGTTTCTGAGGCTTTTCAATATTTGCAGGAACAAAAAGCCTCATCTTTTTCCCACAGAACGACAGGTGGGCTCAAATGGTGGACTTTGTGGTTTATACTCCAGTGCTTATCGTATGGAGCCCAACTTCACATTATATATATGGAGAGAGAGAGAAACACCATAGGAAAAAAAAAGGCCCATTGTAATTTTCTATGGAAAAATGATATTACTAACTGCCTTGTAAATATTCTCAAATTAATTGCTAGCCTGTATTTTTATAATAGTGATATGTTTTTAGGATTTTAAATAATTTAAGTATATTTTTACCTACTATTTTTTAATTATTTTAATTGTTTTAGGTCAACTGGCTACTCTGAAGTGATAGTTGTTGTTGGAGGCTGTGAACGAGTTGGAGGATTTAACCTTCCATACACTGAGTGCTATGATCCTGTGACAGGAGAATGGAAGTCTTTGGCTAAGCTTCCAGAATTTACCAAGTCAGAGTATGCAGTCTGTGCTCTAAGGAATGACATTCTTGTTTCAGGTAAAGATTTGTTACAGTAGCTACTTTTATTTAATAGTCTAGCCATCTTAAAAGATAACATTCAAATGTTAACATGCTTACCTATAAGCATAATAGTTTACACAACAAATAAAGCCAAGAATGACTTTGTGCTCCAAAATACAGAGGCAAGATGATGCAGAATGATTTATAAAAGATCTTCCAGAAAATGTCTTTGCTTACAGATTTAAATGTTCTCAAATCTATATAAAATACAGTATAATTTTCAAAATTTTTGCAACTTTAAGGAGCATAATAAAGGCTATAACTCAGAAGAGTTATAGAATTAAGCCTCTCTAATGTACCCAGTTGATCTGAAATTCTCCCCTAAATTTATGAAATAGAATTTTCTGTAAAATTGTTAACTTGAACAACTCTGTGATGTATGACATATTACCTGTAAAATAAAATGGATAATAAAAGGACAGACTTTATAAAGTATAACTACAGCATCTAGTTTGACATCTGTTTACTGATTAATAATTTTTACCAGCTCTGTAGATTACTATATATTATACACTGCATAGTGTAACAACATACACTTTATTTTGTAAATAGTATGCTTTTTTTTAACAGAAAGAGTGGTTTTAGAAATCTTTTTCAAATAATTCTGTGTGCTTCTTGATGTCTGATTCCTTGATTAACAATCTTAAACAGTTTTAAAATTTTTATTATTTTGATTGATAATCATTACTTCTCAAGGTAACAGTTGGCAGAGTTCATTTAGTGAACTAAAATCTCAAATCCTTGTATGTCTAATTGCCTTTGTCTTAGTGACATGAATCCCTTGCAATAGATACATTATTATATGTGCATTACTTTACATTTAAAGGTGGAAGAATCAATAGCCGTGATGTCTGGATTTATAATTCACAGTTAAATATTTGGATCCGTGTTGCCTCTCTAAATAAAGGCAGATGGCGTCACAAAATGGCTGTCCTCCTTGGTAAAGTAAGAGAAACCACTTTTATTACTATCCCTGGTACATTTCCAAAATAAATACCACAGCTGATTCCTTTATTTTACTCTCCCTCAGGGTATTTTGGATTCACATTGTATTTCCTTCCATTTCTAAACTTAATAAATGCACTAAAGATAAACAGTTTGACAATGTACTTTTTTTTTTTTTTTAATGTTTTATTGTGAATTATGTGAGAGTTTACATGGGAGAACATTAGCTTTACATTCATCCTATTGTATATCGTTTCATTGCCATGGTTACAGTTCCCTCCATGCATCATCAAGTAACCAAAGGGTATACCCTGCAAGCCTGCCACCCCCACCTAGGTCTAAAGTCCCCAGCCGCTCCATCTTCATCATCATCTCTGCCTCCATCTCTGGCTTCACTGCTTCTATGGGTAGGGTCCCACTCTCCACTCTTCTCCCTTGATGGTCCCAGGGACTTATGCTCCTAGACTGTAAAGTTAATCACTCCCCTCCGTGCTACAAAATGTCTGCCTTTACATTTCCAATCCTCCCAGTCAATCCTGATAGCAATTATTCTGACAAGTGTTCTTTTGATTGGATATTTTGATCTTTGAATTTGGAATTTGTGGCAGTACAGCACATTTCTCATGCACCATTGGAGTGTAAATGCCTAAAAAGTGTTGGAAAATAAAGGTGTTACATCAAGTACAAAAATAGGCCAATGTCTAACCAAACAATATTTTATCTTTTACTGACTTTGGCAGCTAAACACAGATACGTTTATCTAGAGTGATATTGTTTTTATCTTTTTTATTGTATAAGTAGATACAAAACATATTTAAAATAAGAATTAAGATAAACTCACCAATATTATCAGTTCAGCAGTTCAGACTCACCAGCCACTCTTTAGAAACCCTATACAGGGTTGTTATGAGTCAGAACTGACTCGACAACACTTAACAACAACAACATTGGATGCAGTGGTGGTGGATGGTGGGTGTGTGCCACCGAATAGGTTCTGACTCATAGAAACCCTGTATAGCATTTCCAAGGCTGATACCTTTACAGACTCAGAAAGAATCATCTTTCTCCCAAGGAATGACTGGCAGATTCGAACTACTGACCCTGTGGTTAACAGCCCAGCTCATAATCTACTACGATACCAGAACTCTTTACTATTGACAATAGCTAATAACTATTATAGAAGATACATCATTTGGGTTCTCAAACATCAGCTGTTCTTGGGAACTTGAGAATCACCTATAGACTAGTGATTTCAAACTTTTTAAAAGCAACTATACCCCACTTTTAAGGAGTTCTCGTAGCATAGTGGTTACGAATTGGGCTGTGAACCGCAAGGTCAGCGGTTCGAAACTACCAGCTGTTCCATGGGAGAAAGATGAGGCTTTCTGGTCCCATAAAGATTTACAGCCTCAGAAAACCTGTACAGGATCGCTATGAGTCAGAACCGACTCCACAGCACATCACCACCACCAAAGCAGATTAAAATACAGTGAGGTGCCAAGGGATAACTTGGGATGTTTAGAGTCTCCCCACTCCCATCTCTATTGGCTCACCCAAAGCCACCTCAAATTGATGATCAGTCTGGTAGCGTAGTAGTTACAAGTCGGGCTGCTAACCTCAAGGTCATCAGTTCGAAACTACCAGCATTTCATGAGAAAAGATAAGGCTTTCTGCTCCCATAAAGATTTACAGCCTCGGAAATCCTATCCAGGGTCTCTATGAGTCAGAACCGACTCCACTGCACACCCCTACCACCTCAGTAGACGCATCATACTTATTTGTAATTGTAGCTCTGATTAACCTCTGGTACCTTTTCTAAGGAGTCCTGGTGTGGTGCTGTGGGCTAATGTGTCAGACTGCGAAGTCATTTGAACTGCAAGGTGGGTGGTTCCAGCTCACCAGCTGCTCCTTGGAAACCTTTTACAGGGTCACTATGGGTCGGAATCGACTCAAGGGTAACTAACAACAACAACCTTTTCTAAAAAATACTCTCTTGTAGCGTCATTTTAGAGCCACCAAGAAAAATACAGAACTGCTGTAGTTGAAACAGATGTTGTTAGGTGCCATCAAGTCAGTTCTGACTTAGAGTGACCCTGTGTACAATTGAACAAAAAATTTCCCAGTCCTGAACCATCCTCACAATCATTGCTGTGTTTGAACCCATTGTTGCAGCTACTGTGTCAGTACATCTTTTTGAAAATCTCCTCCATTTTTGCTGACCCTCTACTTTACAAAGCATGATACCTTTCCTCAGGGACTGGTTCCTCCTGATAACATGTCCAAAGTACAAGTAATGAAGTCTCACCTTGTTTCTAAGGAATATTCTGACTGTACTTCTTCCAAGACAGGTTTGTTTATTCTCCTGGAAGTCAGTGGTGGTGGTGTTGTTGTTAAATACCGTCAAGTCGGTTCAGACCCATAGCAATTCTGTATAGGATTTCAGAGAAGAGACTGGTGAGCTTGAACCACTGACCTTGCGTAGCAAACCACTTTTCAGTTTAGTGCATTAACCCATAATGCCACACTAGAACTCCCACTGGCAGTCAATGGTGGCCTGGAATTCTTCCAGTTCTGCCTCCCACCAGTCCCCCTACCCCCACATTGACTTCTTGAAACTTCCATACTTTAGTCTTTGTATAAATGTAAGATAAGCACTGGACTGCTAACTGCAAGATGGGCGATTCAGACCCACCAGCCACTCCTTATATTGCCTCTCTGATTTGAAACTGACTTGATGGCACTCAACAACAGTAACAACATAAAATCCTAAAGCACAGTTTTAAAGCTACTATTCATTCCTAATTACCTTCATCTAGTGTGATACTGCTATAAGCAGGGCTAATTAAATAATGAGGATTTTGTGATACATTTACTGAAAATAAAGTATTTTAAGAATATTTTCTAAAAACAATTTGTCATTACCTACCATATTTTATGGAGTCCTGGTATGGTGCTGGGTTAATGCGACAGATGGCAAAGTCAGTTTGAACTGCAAGGTTGGTGGTTCAAGCTCACCATCCACTCCTTGGAAGCCCTATATAGGGTCGCTATGGGTTGGAACTTACTCGAAGGCACTTAACAATCACAACAACAACAAACATATTTTGTGGACTCCTGGTGTGGTGCTGTAGGATCAGCACTGGACTGCAAACCACAAGTTTGGCAGTTCAAACCCATCAGTAGCTCTTTTGAAACCCTATACAGGGTTACTAACTGACTAGACGACACTTAACAACAACCATATTTTATGAGGGGACTTCAAAAACTTCATGGAAAAATTCCATTATGTTTTCATTACATTTTTCCATGAACTTTTTGAAGCTCTCTCATAGAGGGAGCCTCGTTGGTACAGTGGTTAAGTGCTCACCTGTGACCCTAAAGGTCAGTGGTTTGAACCCACCTGCTCCATAAAGACTACAGTTAGAAACCCTATGGGGCAGTTTTACCCAGTCCCATATGGTTGCACTGGATCACATGTTGGTTTGAACCACTAGGTCAGTGGTTCAAACTCACCAGCCACTCCTTGGAAACCCTATAGTGTCACTATGAGTTGGAACTGACTTGATGGCACTCAACGATCACAACATAAAAACCTGAAGCACAGTTTTAAAGCTACTATTCATTCCTAATTACTTTCATCTAGCGTGATGCTGCTATCAGCAGGGCTAATTAAATAATGAGGACTTTGACTAAGAAACGTATGATTATTTAATTTGGCCATTTAAAGGCATATTGAAAATGCTTGATGTTTCAAAAACATGTGGATTGGGTGGAACACAAATGTATTTGACAAGCATTAGCATACTTGACCTAAAGATAGCCAAAAGCTTAGAAACACTAAATATAGAAATAGAAGGAAGCATGCTTACTTTACAGAACCAGTCCTAAATATATAAAAGGTGTTTGCTGTAGGATCAGCACTGGACTGCGAACCACAGGGTTGTCATTTCAAACCCACCAGATGCTCCTCAGAAACCCTATACAGGGTCACTATGAATCGGAACCAACTCACTGCCACTTAACAACACAGCTTTTTCCTAAAAATTACATAAGCTGAATTCACAGACTTGTAAATTATTTAAATGTATAAATCATTTGTGTTGAGAAAAGCTAGGATGATTGGGAATATAATATAGACTCTTAGAACCAGAAGGGATCTTAGAGAGTATTTAGTGTGGCTTTCTTAGTTTACAAAGAAACTGAGTCCCCAAAAGATCAAGGTTTCACAGAAAGTGGTGAAAGTCAGGGCAAAAGCTCAGATTTTCTTAATCTGTTGTTGTTGTTCAGTGCCATTAAGTCAGTTCTAACTCATAGCGATCCTGTATGGGATTTGAACTGCCGATCTTAGCAGTCCAGTGCTTATCATACAGCACCACACCAGGACCCCTTTCTTGATCTATAGGGTTTGTTTTTTTTAATCTTGATTCTCACTGTATGTTTTTAGTCTATACACATTATCACTTAATTAAGGACTTGAAGAATTCTACTTGAGGGATACTGCACTGAAGACAAATGTCTCCTTTGTTAGTCAATTAGAACTAGGATCTCTGGCTGAAGGAACACATATGAGTAAAACTTATGAGTAGTGTATACTTTTGAGTAGCACTTCTCAAACTTAAAGTGCACACATATCACCTGGAGTTCTGGAAGGTCTCGTGGGATCTTATATTCCATATTTCCAACAAACCCTGGATGCTACCTGTGTTCTGGCTCACAAACCAGAATAGAAAGAAAGTACCGCATTTTCAGAGTCTGGATATTTCTGGTGAGGACCACAAATCTTTCATGCTTTTTAGCTTTCCAGGCGATTTCTGATACAGCTGATGATCTGTTTTTAAACTTGATTTAAAAAAAATATTTTTTCTAGATCTGGTATTATTATCATACATGTTTCTTATTGATCAAACAGTGCATTGGAGTTGGCAGTACGTTTTAGGGACTTAAGCACCCAAACTAAGGATCTAAACATGTAATAGCAATCCCATAGAAATTAGCAATAGCAGCCAAATAAAGAAAGATTGGCATTGAAACACTGAAGACCAAGACAAAGAACTGAGTTTAAAGGAAGAGTCGAGTTATCACAGCTAAAGTATACTGACACACAGGGCTGGCAAGACTTCGTCTCTCATACTTGGGACCAGTCCCTCAAGAAAGACATTTCATGTTTGGTAAAGTTGGAGGGTCATCAAAAAGAAGGAAAACCCCAATGGGTGGCAGTAACAATTGTAAGGATGGTGCCGGAGCAGGCAGTGTTTCCTTCCGTTGTGGATAGAGTACTTTTGACAGCACCTAACAACATCACAACATACTGACACCCCACTCCACTCCACCCCAAAATGTGTAATGTCAGAATGTCAGCTGCCTGAACTACTGACTAGAATTTCCTCCTGATGAGGTACCTGTAAATATTCCAAAATATGAAGAAAAGCCAAGTCTGCTAGTTGTTAAGTGCCATCGAGTTGGTTCCAACTCAGCAACCCTGTACAGGGTTTCCGAGGACCAGCTGGTGGGTTTGAACCTTGTATTTTGAAGTCCAGTGCTGATCCTACAGTGCCACAACAGGAGTAGAAAAATGTCTTTGAAGGCTCCTTGGTGATAGGGATGTGATAATAAAAGAGATTTAGAAGCAAAGACCGAACATATTGCAGTTATCATAAGTATCAAGGACTTTATAAAGGGGTGAATTCCTTTCCTTCTTTTACCACCTAGCTTACAATTCAGACTTTTAATCATTAAGATTTTCCATATATTTTACACATAGGTGTATGCTGTTGGAGGCTATGATGGGCAGAACAGACTTAGCAGCGTAGAATGCTATGATTCCTTTTCAAACCGGTGGACTGAAGTTGCTCCCCTAAAGGAAGCAGTGAGCTCTCCTGCTGTGACCAGCTGTGTAGGGAAATTGTTCGTCATTGGCGGAGGGCCTGATGATAATACTTGTTCTGACAAGGTAAGCCATGTTCTTTTTAAGGCACTGCCAGTGTATATCTACTTCAGAATTACAAGAAGGGTAATTCCGGAGGTTTATCATACATACCTAAATTCCTTAGTGTGAGGGGCTTTTTAAAAATTATTTGGTACTCTTTGCTTTTGGTGGGTGAAGCATTGAATCTTAAGTTGCTGAAAGGAGACGCTCATACACCTAACAATTAATTGTTAAAAGTTTGAGCCACTCTTTGAAATGGCACTATTGTCAATGTCTCCTAAAATGTTGTGCTAAGTAAATCGTTCCGAGCCTTTTACTGCTGTAGTCTGCAGAATCTAAACAAATCAAACCAAACTCAATCGGGAGGTAAATTAGCAAAGGGAGACGGAGAAACGAATTATACTGATTCAGACTGGGTCATTTACTGCATATTTCTACAGTATTTTTTAGGCAAGAGAGAAGAAAATAAGAAGTCTCTGTGTAGTATAAATAAAGATGGATCAAAAGTGCTGCAGTTCATTGAACTGGTACAGAAGAAATGTGCCATTCTGATATCAGGAAATTCTGTGTTTATTATGGAAACAATTGACTAATGCTTAATTGGTTAACTAGTTAACTGAATTTTGTTTATTAGTTAATTCTTTTTCTAAATTAAATTCTAATATAGTCAAATGTTATTCACTTAGAATTATTTAATTCAAAATGTGTGATAATTCAGAATATACTGAATATAGGTTTACTGGTGTTTTTTAGAAGAAAGAACTCTCTAAAGGTGCAAATAAATTATATACAGAATGAGGCATAGTTTTGTTATAGAATTTTTTTTATTTAGCTGAGACTTTAGTGAAAATAGTAAAACAAATTTAGTAACCATTCACTCAGACAAAAAATCTTTTTTTTTGGGGGGGGGTACCTGTACTATATTTGCTAGGAATAAATTTCTATTTCTTTTGAATATTTCCTTAATTCAGGCATTTCACTATCAACTTAACCTCCCTTAAGTCTCAAAATTAAGGGATGGGGTAAACTTGGATTTTTGTATGGATATTTTAATTAAATATTTCTATATTATTAGGTTCAATCTTATGATCCAGAAACCAATTCTTGGCTACTTCGTGCAGCTATCCCAATTGCTAAAAGGTGTATAACAGCTGTGTCTTTAAACAATCTGATCTATGTTGCTGGTGGACTGACCAAGGCAATATACTGTTATGATCCAGTTGAAGATTACTGGATGCATGTACAGAATACATTCAGCCGACAGGTAATAACCTAAAATAGTTCAGAAGAAGAATCAATCTAAGAGGGACTAAACATGATTATTATTAATACTGGAGTCTCATTGTTAAAATACTTCATGTATGCTTGAATTGTTTCACAGTTTTATAAAATGCCACATAAAGCACATGGTATTCCTGTTACATTGAAATCATTTTTCTTTTACCATCTCATGGTGAAGTACCCTTTGCACTTAGCCTCTTGACTTTTTCTCCACCTATTTTAGAATCCTACTTCAACCCTATACTCTCTCTATATACATATTTCAGAAGAAAAGAAATGTTCCCAAACTGGTTTCTTTGCTTTTCTGGTTAGAGGCTAGGTAATTTGTTGGTTTTGTTATAAAGGAAATGACAGTTTTCAGATCTCCTTTATCCACACACGCTACCTCCACCTCTACCTGCACCCCCCTGCTCCACGTAGCCCCCCCTCATCCTTTTGATCCATGGCTTTCTTGCTTTTCACCACTAAATAACTTGCTGGTTAAGTGCTGGAAATCTAGCTCTACCAACACCACTCTGCTGTGCTCTCAAAGGTTGCTACAAATTATTTCCTCACTCTCCTTTATACTCTGTTATTTTTCCACCCAAACCATCATTTGTGTGTTTCCTGAACCTCTTTCCTCTCCCTCATCCCTGCTGATGAGAATCCCCCACTTAGGGAGATAATCTCTTAGTAACTTCATCTTCTCCTTGGCCTGATGATTTCAAGTCTTTGTCATCAAGTCTTTGCTCCTGAGATCTAGACTCAAATTTCCAACTGCCTATTTGATATTTCCCCATGGATGTTTCAGGACTTCAGTCTGAAAACAGAACTCACCTTCTTCCCAAAAGCCTACTTTTTTTTTATTCCAAGCAACCTAGAAACATAATTTCTTAGCTTTTCCCTCAATTTCTGTTAAATGACTCAATCCATCAGTTTTGTGTCCTGCTTGTTCTGTTTTTCTGTTCCCCATTCCTGCTGCTCCTGCCTTTGTTCAATTCTTTCTCTTTAATTTTTTGTCTAAATTAAAACAATAGTACTTTTTTTTGGTCTATAATGACTTATTTCTCTAATCCATTTTGCCAGCTATTTTGTAACAAATCTGATTATGTCTCTTTCTCAGTGGAAACCTATTGAATAAAATGCAAACATTTTGCCACTTCATTCTAGACTTCCTATTGTCTGATCTCTTCTTGCCCTTTCAACTTTAATTTCCACAAATTTACCCCAGTTACATTACTTTTCTATTACTCGTATTCTCTGTACAAGCATACATGTTCATGCCTACACACCTTGGTTTCTGATGTACTCTTAGCCTCTTAATATCTATTCCATCCCCTCTACTTGTAATTCTACTTATCTTTTAAGATCCCCTTTATAATTACAACAAACTGGGTTGTCCTTGCCAGAACTAACCTCTTTTCTACTCATCGGTTACAATAGATACGTAAGAGGTGTAGCATAGACTGTAAGGCTGGTTGGTAGGGTTTGAGTATAACACCATCTTTCTAAAATCATTCACATAGATTCAGTTTCTAATTAGTAACGTATTCAGAGTAATGGTCCCCCAACTGGTGAAAAGGACATAATAGAATCTTGAGCAGAGACAGTATAATATTCAACCGTCTCAAGTCACATTTAAGTAAAAACTAAACAAACTCGGTGGTCTCTCTTGGAAAGGACATTCTGTAACCCTACAGAAGTAAGAGTGTGCCTGTCACATAAGAGCACCCCCCTTATGGTTACATTCACCTTCACTTTATAGCAGCTGTTGACACATTAAGCTGTTCTTTATTGGTTTACTGTAGCGAATTTTTAAATCAATATTTTCACCAAGAATTACTATTCATTTGAATAGGACAACTTGATGATATAAAATGGTAACAGAGGTTAGGGAGGTAAGTGCATATAGTACACATGGGGTCAGTTGCCATGTCTCAAAATCAACTCAATGGCAAGGATTTTTGTTCGTTTTTAGCATAATTCAGGGTACATGATGAGTATACTTTTATCTAAATGATTGCAGTAAAACTAAGAAAAATTCAAGAATGGGACTCATATTGCACATTTTCTCTAATTAAATGATGACTAACTGACTTCTGAAGTATCAAGGAAAGACATTTAGGTCGTAAGTATATTAAATTTATTACAACAAAGACAGATCACTGAAGTCCAAATTTAGTGTTCTATATCAAATCTCTTGAAGTGGAAAAGTACTGGGATTTCTGGGAATAGAAACCTTATCATTTCTCTCACTACATATACTGTTACTTCCAGTACCAGTACTCTTCCACTTCAAGAGATTTCATATAGGACACTAGATTTGGACCTAAGAGATCTGTCTTTTTTGTAATAAATTTAATAGGTAAATGTTGAACTGTCTATCATGATTCGTCTTCCGTCTTAATGCTAATCAGTGCAAAAGGATAAAATTGAATGTACCAAGGCTACAGTATGATTCCAAAGACACTATTCTTTAAAATGCTTAGAATATTAAATGGCAAAGAACAGCTGAAGAAATTTGCTCTTTTCTGCAGTCCCAATGGACCCAATCAATTTCTTTGTCTATTCCTCACTACTCTCATGCCTTTTGACTGTGCATCATTGCTAAAAGCCACAATTTGATATTCCAAACACATCTTTTTAACCTTTGTAGAAAATATTCTTTAAAAGAACTGTGGAGTTCATTTTTTTTGTTGTTTTTTAAAATCAATTATGAAGACTTTTTCAGTAGAGGAGGTATGTAAAATATCATTGAAGTTTAGAATAATTAAATGAAACAATCTAATTCTTTTTATGCAGTATTAGCATTTAAACATGCAAAAATAGGAATAAAGGAGAGAGATTTATTATATGTGTCTGTGTGTATGTATAGTAACATGTTCATTTCAGTCTTGAGAAATGACATTAAACTTCATGTATTGATAAATTATTTTCCCTATAGTTGCTCTTAACTATGAGACTCTCACAGAGTGGTATAAGTATCTTCCTGACTTGAATGAAGAACTGTTTTCAAAGTTGCTTGCTTCATTTAATTTTGAATACAAGAGAACTTCAAATGGTTTATAAAAAAATGAAATGAGAAGATACTGGAATTTTTCCGTGACCTTCTTGAAGCCCCCTTGTATTATTTTCTGAAAGGATATTAATAACCATGTTTTATAATTATATGCTATTTTAGCATTATCATCAAAGTATTTATAAGATTAAATAGTGCAAGGTAGCTAGTACCTAAAAATTGACATGTTTCACTATTGTTTTTTATTATATTCAGAACTTTTAGAATTTATAGAAAAAGTGCATTTTACATTAGATGGAAAATGTAGTTTTGGCCCATAATTAGTATAATTCATGAGCAGTTCAAAAACACTATCCTGTTATATAACTTCACCAAGATTTAATTTTAATAGAAGCAAATATTATATACAGAAAAATATGATCAAAATGTTTATTGCAGTTATAGGTAAAGCTACTTCATTTTAGTAATCTGAGATCAGAATAATAATAGGCAATAACTTTGTGAATTACACTGAAGTATAAATGGAAGAATATTTGACACCCAGCATAACCAGGCCCATATGAGAGTGAAACAGTTTCTTTCTTTAATGACTCTCCTCTTTGCAAGAATATTGTTTATATACTAATTATTGACTCACAATAGTAAAGTCTAGTAAGGAATCTTACTGTGTAGAAAGTGAACTTTTAAATATTATTTGGGTCTTTTCTATGTCCCAGTCAAGACCCATAACAACAGAGCTTGGTTAATTTGGTTGTAACTCTTTCTCTCATTCATTCATTCAACTTGTGGGGATAACCCCTCGTAGTGAGTAATGTTCCTTCTCCTTGGTAAGGTAATAGCCACTTTCTGTGATCTGCTTGCAAAAGGAAAAGCAAGTTTGTTTAATTACCATGAAGTTGAAAAGCAAAAAATAAAATAAAACCTCAGTCTACCATTCCCACTCCATCTCTCTACATCTTGGTCCCAATTACAAAATATAATCTACTGTAATTCTCACTTCACCTGTGCAAAATTTCCTACTCTCACACAAAGAACAGAAGTTTGACAAAAGGGTGCTTATTTCATGTATTCTAGACTGTGCTAAAGCATATCATTTTGTGTTGTTTTATTTTTTACTTTTAAGTTTGCTACCAAGTTCCTTACCATCAACAGTTATTTATTTATTTTTTTTTTCAATTTGGCTGAACAGGAAAACAGTGGTATGTCTGTGTGTAATGGTAAGATATATATCCTGGGTGGAAGACGGGAAAATGGAGACGCCACAGACACTGTTCTCTGTTATGATCCTGCAACAAGTATCATCACAGGGGTAGCTGCAATGCCCCGACCAGTGTCCTATCACGGCTGTGTGACTATTCATAGATACAATGAGAAATCCTTTAAACTCTGAAACCAGGATACCTCACCCAAGAAGACACACCAATCCAAGATGAGAGATTCAAAATCTCTGGAGTGGGAACTTGACATACTTCCTTTGTGCCATATGCAAAAAAAAGTTAGTAAAAATAATAATTGTGGTGTTTTTCTCCCCAAAATATCAATCTTTCAATCTATAAATAAAGCCTTGCCTGTAATGGGGCAAATTATTTTTGTTAAAGGTAAAGGTGGTTGTTGCTTTGCCTTTGAGAAGGTACCTTCATAAGTAGTTGAAAAAATTCTGTGTGGAATGGAAACTAGTAGTTGCCTGCATACCTTTTAAGAAGTTGTGAATGCTCTCTTCATATATGTATGTTTATCTGTAAGACTGTATTTTCCTTGTTTTGTCATACATGTAGAGAAAATTGAAATTTTCGGCTTCATGTAAGTAGAATCATCAAATGCTTAGAATACCCAGAATTCATTCTAAGAGGGAAAAATCATGTAAAAAAAAAAATTGTCACTAAAACTATATCAACGTTGATTCATTTTAAAGGGTTTTCTTTTGTAATTTATCAAAATTTGGTGACAGCCATGTGACTGTATAAAATACTGAATGATGACCTCATTGTAGAATTGCATGATATTAAACATCTGGAGATTTGGAGATGGATGGATAGAAGATACAAGAGCAAGTATCTGTAAAAGGATTCAATCTGTATATTAATTCCAACAAAAATATATTTAAGACTATTGAAAGGAAAATTCACTGTTGCTTTCAAAGTGTTTATGAGTCACCTAAATCCTTTAAAGAAGCTACTTTTCTTAAGCTAGGCAAAGGAATTAAAATCCATTTTGAATTATTATGAAAGATAGGGACAAATTTTCTCCTTAGTCCAGCTAGTGTGCTATGAGTACTTTGGGTGAAGACTTCATCCCATGGTTACCCTACTTTCTTGTGACCTTTTAAAAATCCTGGAAGTCACCACTAAATGCCTTTAATAGCATATAGCAGGGACCACCTCTGTGTCCATTGTTCTTTTTTAAGTTGTTGTTGTTAAGTGCTGTCTAATCAGTGAGTCAGTTCCAACTTATAGCAACCCTGGATCAGGTTTCTGAGGAGCAGCTGATGAGTTTGAACTGCTGACCTTGTGGTTCACAGTATGATGCTAATCCTACAGCACCATAACAGCAATACCAGTCTTCTAGAAGTCTTTCACTTGGGACCCACTATAAAATAGGAGTCCTGGTGTGGTGCTGCAGGATAATAGCCTGTACCAAAAGGTCAGTGGTTTAAACTTACCATCCGCTCCTCAGAAACCCTATACAGGGTCACTGTAAGTTGGAACCAACCCAATGGCACTTGAACAATAAAATTGCACTCTACATTTTAAGACTTCTAAACAACAAATAATATTTTTGTCTAGAGTTTTTTAACTCCAAATTACTAACTTAACAGTTTTCAGAGACAAATGTAATTTTTTTTCAATGGCAAGTGCATGGTAAAAGGAAATACAACATAAATGATTATTGAGATTCCTGGATGGACAAATATAATTTATAACATTTTAGAGATGTTTCAAGTAGCTTACTAAATTTTGACTGTCCAGTCACTATTATCATCTGGTGGTGTTATTTTATACTTCATGTCATAGGAGGGATGATGCAAATATATGATTATAGAGTTAGCATATTTCTGTAATACCAAGGTAGAAATCAAAAAACATTGGAAAACTTTTTTTCTCAGTAGATGCAGGTGTATAAAGCATCCCACTTCTAATATAAAGCATCCACTTCCAATGCTGAGAAACTTAATCCTGAGAGAAACTGAAAAAGTTTAGAAATTCAGGGAATTTTTCTTTTTCAAATTATAATTTAGAAATGACATACCTTTTTGTGATAATTATCAGAGCAATTCAGAAAACATTTTCTATCGTTTTAGTTCAAAGACAGTTGCAGATTCAGTTGGGATACTGTGCTTCATTTCAGTGTGAACATCTTATTTCTGCATTATATCTTTTGTATGTAGAAATGGAACTTGAAGTTTAGCCCTGAATTTCTGTGCAGTAAATGAGATAATGTATGAGAAAGTGTTTTGTAAATGCTTAGAACTATACAAATGATAGTTGTCATTTTCATGTGTATTTGTGAAATCATGCCCATCTATAAATACAAACATTTTATATA